CGTCGATGTAACGGTGAGACGGCGGCGACGCGGCGTCGGAGGAGACGTCACGTCCATCAGTCAGAAACACGATAACGACAGAAGTCGTTTATTTTTCTCCTCACTCCAGGAACCTCGCGGCTGGCCCCCGACGGCTGTGAGCTGGTGTGTTGTGGGCCGGGCTACAGAGCGGGTCGGGCGGAGGTGGTGCAGCGCTGCTCCTGCAAGTTCTCCTGGTGCTGCTCAGTCCGCTGCCAGCAGTGCAAGAACACGGTCACCATTCACACCTGCAGAGTATGACCGCTGAGAGACGGACACCTCAGGCTGAGGACGACACAGAGGGGGACCAGTGGACCAGTCCGCCCGTAGACCTGGACCAGTCCTCCTGTAGACCTGGACCAGTCCGCCCGTAGACCTGGACCAGTCCTCCCGTAGACCTGGACCAGTCCTCCCGTAGACCTGGACCAGTCCTCCCGTAGACCTGGACCAGTCCGCCCATAGACCTGGTAGACCTCCTGAACAGCGGAACATAAAAACCGAGGACAGTGCGTTAACAGTGCATGAATTAAACAAAGGCTCCACATTAGTAGGACAGACGTAAATACACGACAAAAACACACACATCTTTAACACATTTATCGTTGAAGAGACAAAGCTTTTGAAGCTGAACATAAGACTAACACAGAAACACAGTCCACTGGGACGTAGACCTGCCGTCCCGTCCGGTATCAGCCGTTACGGTAACATTGTTGAAGGACCATTAGATTTTCCAAATAACAAACCTGTTTTAGATCACGTCAGAGTCTGAATGAGCTGTTCTCAAACATTCAAGGAAGTAAATTAATAAAACTGAAGTACATGTTTCCACTGTGTCCCGTCACAGCACGTGGGACGTAGACCTGCCGTCCCGTCCGGTATCAGCCGTTACGGTAACATTGTTGAAGGACCATTAGATTTTCCAAATAACAAACCTGTTTTAGATCACGTCAGAGTCTGAATGAGCTGTTCTCAAACATTCAAGGAAGTAAATTAATAAAACTGAAGTACATGTTTCCACTGTGTCCCGTCACAGCCCGACAGTCTCACTACAACAGTCAGAGTACAACAGTCACACTACAACAGTCTCAGTACAACAGTCTCACTACAACAGTCAGAGTACAACAGTCTCAGTACAACAGTCTCAGTACAACAGTCACACTACAACAGTCTCACTACAACAGTCTCACCTGCGTCCGTCCTGTTAGTTTTGTTCTTCGTCGTCTTTTTCTCCTTCTTTTCCTGCACAAACAAATCCATTGGTTTGATCAAGAATGTTCTAATAAAGACAGTAGATTCATCTGATGGACGTGAGTTTCGTTTCATTTTTTCAGTCTAGAACTTCCTGACTGAATTTATCAGTGAGCTGCATCAATAAAGTCACGGACCGAGTGTTTCTGCTGCTGCTGCTAAAAACACAGCATTTGTGCATCACAGCCGTTGCTCGTCCTCTGCGTCGGTCCAGGCCTGAACCAGCAGCAGGTCCTGAAACAGCAGCAGGTCCTGAAACAGCAGCAGGTCCTGAAACAGCAGCAGGTCCTGAAACAGCAGCAGGTCCTGAAACAGCAGCAGGTCCTGAAACAGCAGCAGGTCCTGAAACAGCAGCAGGTCCTGAAACAGCAGCAGGTCCTGAAACAGCAGCAGGTCCTGAAACAGCAGCAGGTCCTGAAACAGCAGCAGGTCCTGAAACAGCAGCAGGTCCTGAAACAGCAGCAGGTCCTGAAACAGCAGCAGGTCCTGAAACAGCAGCAGGTCCTGAAACAGCAGCAGGTCCTGAAACAGCAGCAGGTCCTGAAACAGCAGCAGGTCCTGAAACAGCAGCAGGTCCTGAAACAGCAGCAGGTCCTGAAACAGCAGCAGGTCCTGAAACAGCAGCAGGTCCTGAAACAGCAGCAGGTCCTGAAACAGCAGCAGGTCCTGAAACAGCAGCAGGTCCTGAAACAGCAGCAGGTCCTGAAACAGCAGCAGGTCCTGAAACAGCAGCAGGTCCTGAAACAGCAGCAGGTCCTGAAACAGCAGCAGGTCCTGAAACAGCAGCAGGTCCTGAAACAGCAGCAGGTCCTGAAACAGCAGCAGGTCCTGAACCAGCAGCCTGTCCCAGATGGAATCAGCCAATGGTCCAGAGCGAGCTGTGATTGACAGCAGCGTATTAAAGTTATTGACGAGACGAAGACAAACAATTCAATCTGGTGATAAAAAACAAACAGACAGACACTGCAAAGTCATTAAACAATTTTTATTAAAAATATCCTGTGATTACAAACACCCCAAAAATTAACTATCAAAGGTTAACCTCTCAATCTGTGTTAAGATTAAGAACTATGGACAATATTACATCTCGTTACATTATCAATCACTCAAAGTTGGTAGGCTAGCAATAAAAAAAAAAAAAAAATCTGGATAAAATAAGACGTCAAGTTTCAAAACAACAACATTTCCCAGAACAACGTCACGGAATTAACAAGGTTTGAACAATAAAACAGGAAATGAAATGAAAACGTACGACAACGACGCGAAGCCGACGTCGCCGCTGCAGAGAACGAGCTTTATTTGAAGTGGCACTACTCTTTTGTTCTTTCATATTTGAATTGAAAGGGTCGGAAATCAAAGCTAAAACAGTACCATTTAACATGAAGTCGGCCTCACATCGGTACCGTCACCGACGCGCTAACACTTAACGTTAAAGGTAACCAGAAAAACCCAGATTGGCCACAAGAATGAGGAGAGAAAAAAAAAGAAAAGATGAAGGCAGAAATAAAACTGAATCTTTCTATAAAAAAAAAAAAAAAAAAAAAACAGTGTCAGGCGGGGGGGCCTGCCCCACCTAGAGGTTGGTGAAGAGAACACTGCATTTTGAAAAAGCTTTTGTAGAAGGAGAGCGGTGACACTTACTGCTGCCAGGCTGCTGTCGTTTTTAATGAAGGCACATGAGTGTGTGAGAGAGAGGGTCTCAGTCGAACTCCCCCAGCCCTCCTCCCCCCCTCCCCCCTTTTACCCCTCTCTGTTTGGTCAATTTGTTTTCCCACAGTGGCCAATGATCTTCCAACTATGTTTCTCTGACACCACCAGACCTCACAGAGCTGCTGCTGCTGCTGCTGCTGCTGCTGCTGCTGCTGCTGCTCATCTATAGTAGAAGGCACTTCCTCTTGGTTTTGGTCTCGGGGGGCTCCAGGGCTGCCAGGATGGCCTCATCAAACACGTTCTTCAGTCCTCGCTGGTGGACAAGTGTTGAGACAGTTTGGTGATTTGAACACATGGTTGTTTCAATGCGTGGTTCGTGTATTCTTTTTGTTGACGTGGATCAGCGTACCTGTGTCAGAGCGGAACACTCCACGTACTTGACAGCCTTCAGCTCCCGGGCCAGTTTCTCTCCACTCTCAGGATATAGGGGGCGCTGTTTGTTCTTTGCCAGCTTCTCCACTGTGTTGCTGTCTTCCCGCAGATCCACCTGCGTGCCCACTAATAGAAAAGGTGTGCGGGGGCAGTGGTGAGAAATCTCTGGAACCCACTGGGAAAAAAAAAGTAGAGATGTTAGAAAATGTTGATATGTTGAAAAATTGTGATATTTCGTTTTCACGATATCCTACATTTATTAATAATTAAATGAACAGCTTGAAGACAACAACAGAAGTTCACATGCTACTTTGTCTTTAATGTCCACACAGACGACTGTCAGGACAGTCGTCACCTCCTCCTCCTCCTCCTCCTCCTCCGTCCTCAGTGTTTGTCATTGTCTGACAAATTGACATCAGGTCTGTCGTGACCTGGTCAAACTGCTGACAAAGGTTCTGACCATGAAATCAGGAATGTGACATCGGGGAAGCGACGGTCACTGACGGTCACTGACGGTGAAGACGCTGCTGAGGTTTGACGTTTCCCTCAACTGTTTCCTGCTGCTGATAAGTTTCCAACTCAATGATAATGTCACTGTGAGTCTCACACAGCTACTACACAAATGTTCATACCTCAACTGCTGAATGAAAACAATGGTTTCTGTGTTTGACACACGAGGCTCCACTACTGAAAATATCTTTTATATAAATATCTATTTTGTTTGAGGACAAAAAAGTGAAATTTTTTTTTCTATAAAAGTTTAGTCATAATAAACCTCAATACTTCATGGATGGAACAATTCACTCATGATTGATTGGAGATACTCAGTGTTAGTGAACCGTTAGTTCAGCCGTCATGATTTCTTGGTATGAAGAGTTATAAAACTGACCTTTTCTTTGACATTCTCGAAGGATGACGGGGAGACGACAGAGAAACACACGAGGAACACGTCTGTCTGTGGATAACTGAGAGGACGCAGCCTGTCATAATCCTCCTGACCTGAGAGCAGCAGGAACAAGACGAGAAAACTCAGAAAACAGGAACGCTGTTCTTCTCCTCTCAAAGTGAGATTAAAAAAAAAAACAGTTTCAAACACGTTCACGTTACCTGCTGTGTCAAAAAGTCCTAGAGTGTAGGGCTCTCCGCCGATCATCACCGTTACTGCGTAATTGTCAAAAACCTTTGAGTGAAGACAGAAAGACGAGGGTCAGATACAAGGTCTGGTTTACAAACATCCGTGAAAACTGGTTTACATACTCTATCATGAATACTAAATGCAACTGTAGATTTGTTTTTCCAGGGTGATACACGTCTTTTCAGTGAGCTAATTAGCTGTACATCTTCTTACCGTTGGCACATATTCTGAGGGGAACTTGTTGGTGGTGTAGGAGATCAGTAAGCAGGTCTTTCCTACCGCACCGTCTCCCACTACTACACATTTTATAGTTTGCATCTGCGAGAAGAAGAAGACAGAAAAAAGGAAGTGTCACTGATGTGTCGATGACTGTGGTAGAGCAGAGAGGAAGTGACACTCAAAAAGTCTACAGGAGCAAAGCAACAGAACACAGAAGGAACACAATCATACAGAACATCAATCATTCAGGCTGGGCCGTGTAATAACATACAGAACATCAATCATACTCATACAGAACATCAATCATACAGAACATCAATCATACAGAACATCAATCATACAGAACATCAATCATTCAGGCTGGGCCGTGTAATAAACACTGACAGATCGAACACACACCGTGGACTGTATTAGTAAGTCATTAGGATAATTATGATAACTAGTTTAGATAGTTAATTATAACACGACTGTTGACATATTGGCATAACATTTGAATAAATCCCAAACTTACCAACACGGTGCGATTTGGAATAACGTAGAATATTTTGTGTTCAGTCAAAATAGCTAGTTACTAAACATGGTCTAATTTAACAACTTTTTTTAAGGGGCCTCTAAGTCTCCACTCTGTATTTTTTACCGTGTCGGAAAGTGGGTTCTCAGTGATTGAGAAACACGAGCTGTAGAAATCTCTTCTCAGGCTTGTTATTACATGTGAGAGCAAAGGTTTATTGATGACACTGAATCACTTCCGCATACTGGAGCTGACATACCGAGGATGTTTCAACAAAGACAAAATGACAGCTCGTTTGTAGTTTTGACACGGATAGAGCACATTTCACTGCTTCTGTAGCAGCTCAATATAAACGTAACGATAACAACTGTAGGTAAAAAAGAACGAGGCGAGCGCCGTGTGGCTAACACCGAGTGCAGCGGCAGATTAGGAAGTAAAGGTTATTAGCTTTAATTTCGCGGCGTCTGGTAATGGATAGTCTCTCAGTTAGCTTTATTGGTAGAATATCTACAAAGTTGTGAGAATTCAAGAAATCCTTGGAGGATAATCGTCCAGTTAGAGGTGACGTTTATGTCAACTCTTGTAAGGCAGAACTACGCTTAGCCGACTGCACTAATAGCAGAAGTTTAGCTCATGAAAAACGGACGTAGAAATCTCGTAAATATTTCTCCTACCCACCGGTAAAAGCTGTGTTGGCCCAAAGAGACTCTTCTAAATTCGTTTCCGGTTATTAAAAATGCTGGAAATAAAAAGTTAAACCTGGTGTGTCTAACTTTACTCACCGTTTTCTCCTGGCAGGTTAGGCGTTGGTTACATCCGGGTTTGAGGTCGAGTTACTGAGAGCGCAGCCGCGAACAAGACGACCATCGATTTCAGCTGAGAAATTGAAACATCGCCCCCTGCTGGACACCACAGGTATCGCTTTATCTGCCTCCCGATCAAAATCCAATTCGTTTATTGCGCACATTAAAAACGGTTAAATCGAAGTGCTAAACAGAGATAAACATATAAAACACATAACTAGTAACAAATAACATGTGAAAATGCAGAAAAAAGCGAATAAATCTTTGAAATTGTAAACATAAACTCGAGAAGCCGATTTCCGCCTCCTCGTAAAATAGATTTTTTACGTCAAAATAAAGACAAAATAACTCATAGAAATTAAATAGTATCTCATAATAACGAGAAAGTATCTAATTATTATGACATATTTACTCATAATAAGAATCTTTTTTTCCCCCAAGTAGCGGAAATGTACGGAGTCCCGAAAGGGACATGGGAAAATTTGTGTTCACATGAAACTTACCGGTGTTCACCTGAAACATTTATTATTTTTTGTCATGTCCCTTTAGGGACTCCGTAGGAATATGCTTCCATTTTTTTTTGCTAAAAAAAGAAATAAAAACATATATTATGAATATCTATAAACTGAATAAATTGTTTCAGATGTAGTTTCATGTTATCAATGTCAGTTTGTGTCATTACGGTGAACCGCAGGTTTCCATCTCACAAAGGTCAAAGGCCATTTCTTTAGATCCTTGTTTTCTTTATTGGCATCAGCAAAAGTGGTAAACATGCATTTATTTTTGCAAACCCCGTTTCAGCACTAACTGTATTTAGGATGTACATGACATGTGGCGCCTACACTGACCTGGCACTTACTTGATAATATTGTGCAAAATATCATCAGGAAAATACGGTGTCATTAATGCACTTTGCACTTGATGTTGGTTCACATTTTCACAACTTCATCAACAACTCTCTTAAAAACCTTTCTGAAAAAAAACAAACCCTCCAACATCTGCCCCAAATCTGAAAACAAACAAACAGAAGCAATTATAACATAAGTACCAGCACAGTCAGACAGGGGGCACTATGGTTGTATTCAGGGAACGTGTTATATTTAACCAGTCACAACAGTAGCAGCTTTGAAGCTTTTTCTTTTTTTTAAAGCAATTGAATTGAAATCATTGCAAAATCTTAATCATAGCGTTGCATCAGCGTGAATCATTAGATCAGAAAATATAAATACAGTCCTTTAAACAACTCACCAAAGAAAGTGTACAGTCGGCAGTAGGATTGACAGGTGGCAGATACACAGGTCACACACACACACAGGCAGAACTATGGACACGTTGGCCATGCAGGTGACAAAGAAACACTTCAGGCTGTGACTGTACTGCGGCTGACGGACCACGGAGTTCTGAAACTGGACTTGGTGAAGGAAGAAGGACCGACTGCTGATCCAGTCTCTCTCCCGTCTCCTGTCGATGTCTGGGACTCTGGTCAGACCCCACCCCACCCCCACCCCCCCCACTCCAGGG